AATATTTTGTCTCAGTTTTAAGTATATTTAAGTAAAACAAAGTAGGCGAAACAAATAATAAATTTATTACTTCTCAATAATTTCTATCCAAGTGATATACCGACCATTCAAAAAGAAAGCGACGAGTTATTATGTATATGGTTTTGGTCACTCGTTATGGTCCGCAATCAGTTGCCAGCGCAAGTGGTTCATGGAAAACTTCCCATTTTTCGAATATCTTAATATTCGAACGATAGAATGTTGGTAACAGATGAACTTGTAGTTACTGATAAACATTTTGTTCTGATAATATAATATAAATATAATATAAATAATATGATTGATATAATATATTATATATTAATATAAATATAATATAAATAATATGATTGATATAATATATTATATATTAATATAAATATAATTAAGATAATATAATATAAAACAGAGATTCACATAAGACTTCTGTTTTACATTCGAAGTTATTAAACCGGAAAAAAATGAGACGTAGTACTGCGTCAAACAAGAACGTAGTCAACACTCGTGTTCTCTTCTCCAGCTATTCACAAATTTTGTTTAATTTACATGTCTTTTCGAATACCATGAGCGATTGTTGTCACATTAAAATGATATAAGCTTTCGTAGAAAACGGATAAGAAAAAAAATGTGCTTTTGCTTTAAAATAAAATATTCATGCGATGAGAATGAAAAGGAAAGAAAACTTTATTAAAATCTCAACAGTTTGCAACTTGTTAGAAAAAGAAAAGGAAAAAAGGAAAGTAAGATGAATGATATCAACAAGGAAGAAGAACGATGAAGATAAACAAGAGCCTGACAATGAGAGAAAGTTGTGAGTTTATTTAGTGTAAATTATAGTAATGATTAATAGATGGTTTCGTTCGTAGATAAGCCATTAAGCAGAAGCTGCATATGTACATAATGTGTAAATCACACAGCAATACTGTATCGTACGCAATGATAAATTATAGCATCTCGGCGGAAGAAGAAACCGGATTGTCAATTGTTATGTAGCATATGTAGAAGACATTCCAAGGACGTTCGTAGTCTCAGATGTTCAAGGCCCGTTGAAGTTAATTTTCTTAGTAAGCAAGTGCAACCCGTATCTACATTCACGTTATTGCTCCCATTTTCGCAAAATTGAACGGTACTTGAAACAATTAGGTCTCAAATAACACGATACGGCGCCATCCGGATTTAGTAGTTGAAACGTAATTTTTTTTCCAAGATATAAAAATTGTACAATATTAAAATGATGTGTAATAATAATATACTAATTATATCATACAATATAATTTAAAATATATATTATAATTATATTATATTATATCTGTATATTATACCTGTATATATAACGTATATCTATATATTATACATGCTATAAAATTAACATGTATAGTATAATTATATGCTATATACTATTATACCATATTATACTATAGTTGTATATAATACATTATATATTACATACTAGATTATATAGTATTATGTGTTATATACTAATTAGTATTTAATTATATTAGTATATATACTAGTTTTTAGTACACATACTGTAAAATTAGTATATTATTATGGGACATAATTATATAGTACATCACATACTATACACTACATTATATGCTATATTAATTAGTATACCTATATACTAACATATATAGTATGTAGGGATACTAGTATATATATTATTTATTAGTATTAATATATACTGTATATGCTGCAAAATTATAATTACATATATACCACATAATTGTATTGTAGTATATATATTTTATAATATTATATATATATATATATAATTAATATGTATATAAAAGAAATACATAATGGAGAATACGGAAATTATAAATTTACATACAGTATAGTATATGTTATCCAATTATTGTTATCATTCGTTGTCTAATTGATACATGACGAGATTGTAGAAGAATGGAATATATAATTTCAATTTCAATGCTTCGGTTTGCGATGAATTATTTATGTTATATAACGTCCCTGATGCAAACCGATAAATATAGACAATCGCGGTTTATGAAATATTTAACCAGCGTTCCTCTTAAATCGGAGCGTTTTTTTTTTTCTTTACAATATGCAAGACGTGTTGTTATAATATATGTTACGACGTGCATCTGTGATTACGTCGATTAGTTTGTTCAATCACGCATCAAAACCATAATTTTTGTAAAAGCGTACTGTTTCTTTTAGTTTTCCTTCCTACATTTCTCATTGCTATTTTGTAATTTCGCAAAGTTACGTTTATACCTTCCTGTATATTTACGTCCATATTTCATAATGATTTATTATCAAGTTCATTATGTTTATATAATTTATGTTATATTGCAATTTTTTTTAAATTGCATAATTATTTTGTTTTGCAAATCATTCCTGTTGTTTGTAAGTGTGTCTCTTTTTAATTATTGTTTACGGTCATATCAATTATTATATTAGCAACTCATTTGGTATTATAAGTTTAGAATTTCTAGAAAAAATTGCCAAGTTTCAAAAATATCAGTAATTGTTATGTTTGATTAAAGATATTTAAGCTACTTAAATTACTTGATTATAATTAACTAAGTTTTAACTTGATAATAATCAATTCCAATAATAGTTATTTAGTTATTTGAATTATTTAATTTTGAATATATAATTTATAGAATCATATCATTTATTTACATATATAATGGTTAACAGAAATAATATATTAAAATAAACAGCACTAATGAAAATATATGTTACAATAGTCTTATTTGTAGACAATAATATTGAAAATCTATATTCACATATTCTATCTCAAATCACTTTAAAATTTTGGAAATCTTAAGTAAAATATAGCATATTTATAGTACATATTTGTCAACTCATTAATATTTTTATGAACAATAAATATTTAAATTTTAATTCTTTTGTTTTAAATTTCTAGATTGCAGTTTTTTAAAAAATTACAGATATGTATGAACGAAATCAATATTTGGTTAGACAATTGTACTTTTTATACCTATACACCTATATAAAGTCTAGCTTTTTAGGATTGGCTCATTAACTCTGTTAAATCCCTTTGGATTAAGCGACATTGCCAAATAACATAATTTAAATTTTCCTTTTTTTACATTTACATTTTCATTTTAATAAAACTTGCACGAGAAAGTGCAGGCCATAATAATGATCAGTTCTTCAACGATTAATAGTAAGAGATAAGCTCACGAGAAAGTCCTTTCTGAATATAACATGTGATTGATTTATCACTCTGAAAATAAATTGTGAAGATAATATTGGCTTTTATAATTCTTTATATGAATGAAAGGGAATACAGTCCGAGTAAAAATTTCATCAAGCAAATGAAGCATATTTCTCTGATGAGCAGTGCAAAATAGTATAAATCAGAATTGTTAATTTTTAGAAAAGTATTTGTAATATTTAAATGTAAAGTGCAATGTAAAGTAGATTTTAGATTTTAATTCACGAAAGTTGATAACATATGTCTCTATTGCATTATATGTTGTGTATGTATATATATATATATTTCATTGTATACTTCAAAGTATACATAATTTTTTTGAAAATAATCTTTTTCAAGTTTTCTATTCTCACTTTTAAATCTATTCTCAGTTTTAAATTTAACTATTTGAACCACATTATTAGTGTATGGGTGATCCCATATACTATGCATACTTGTGTTATATTTGGCATATAAATGTTGTAGCAATGTTAGTTTTTTGTCAAAACACAAAGAGACTGTTCTTAATAAAATCAGATGCATTAACATGTCGTTTGCTAGACGCTGCATTCGAATATAACTATAAATGCAAAAGGCGCACTCTTAATTAACAGGAATTTGGCCTAATTCGGCCAATTTTCGCACCACTTTGTTTCCCGCCCACGATGATTTCAACGACAAATACGTCTTAATTGAGTAACTAGAGCGTCTTATAAAGACGTTCTAATAGACGTATGGTTTCTCCTTTTTGTTTTAAATAAATCGTCGTCAATTTCTGATTTGAATTTAATAATTTTCAGTCAGGTTTTTGGTTTATTTCTTTACTGATAATTTTACAGAGACTGGATTGAAGAAACTTTGCCTTTTATTTTTTACATTTAGTTTCACTGTTCTCCAGCAGAAAATGCATTTTGAGTAAATTTCTTCAGTGGTGTCTCCCAATTTTGACCTTTAACGTGCTCTGTTTTTTAATAAAACATAAGCAAAAAGAAATTACTCTCACATTTTCAATATATGGAGCTATCTCCGTTCATTAATATTATATTTTTGAAACTTTTGCCAGCGATTTTTTTAATTTTCAAATAGTGCATTACTTTTTGTAGCAATTATCTTTAATACACAAGATTGCAAATTTTTTTTGACATTAGTTATATAGTTTAATAAAACATTAATTTTGTAAATTAAAATTTAATTTGTAATTATATAATTAATATAATATTTGATATAATTAAAGAATTTATTATTATTTTTTTTAATTATATTAAAAATTATTATTTGAGATTTTTAATTACAATAGAATTTTTACATATAATTTTTATTTTATATATAATTATATATATATAGCTTATGATTATTTTTTATATTTTTAATATTTATGGTATGTGAAAGAATTTTAGGATTATTATTATTAATTAGTATAAATTATGAATTTGGACATCAAAAAATAAAATTTTTAAATTTAATATTTTAAAATGATTGAATTAGTTTTTATGATTTATTTAATAATAATAATTTATTCATTTGATTTTATTATTTTAAGAAATTTAAATTATTTAATCTATTGTACCTTTAAACATAAATTTGTAATTTTAAAAAAGATCTTAGCACAAAAAGAAAGAGAGAAATGGTCAAAATTAGGAAAAGCCGCTAAATTACGAGAAATTTGATGTTATTGATGTTCATATGCGCAAAGAATAAAAATTAGTTTATAGGCAGTGCTGCCAAACGTTCTTCCGCGAACTATTATTAATTTAAGTACACGAGAATGCTAAACAACATTTATTTTATTTAGTTACAGATACACTTCGCAATCAGTGAACGAAGCCAAAATGGGTTGTGCTTCACAGTGTGCCAAGTATTTTCTATGTTTCTTCAATTTTGCTTTCTTCGTAAGTATTACGTTAATATCTACTTATTAACTAATTCATACTTTGATTAAAGTATGATTTCCTTTTTTTTTCCTGATTGAGAACAAGTAACATTTTTATATTTTGCACATCTAATGAAAGTTATTTCAAAATAATGTTATATTCAAATAATAATGAACAATGGAAATATTCATTAACTAATTCTAACATGATTTATTAAAGTTCATGTAATATTATATCTTTGGAACTTTTATCAGCAACTTTTTTAATTTTTAAATAGTGCATTACTTTTTCAGCAAATACACAAGATTGCAAAATTTATTATATATTATATCTATTATATATTTAAAGATAAATTTGTAATTTTAAAAAAGATTTTAGTATAATGTACTTTAGAAATAAGCTCAAGATATTTTAGAATATATTTTTACATTAGTTTAGAAAGTGGTTCATTAAGACTGTATTGTAGCTCACATACAACACCAACTCATTATATAATAGCAAATTTAAACTAAAAATAATATACGTATAAAATCAATAAAAATATGCAAATGATATTAAAATTAACTTTCACATAGCTCCAAAATGACGGAACATTCTTTCATAAAACATTTTGTTTCATAAAAACGACTAAAAAAACATATATAATATGTAATACGTTGTTGATGGAATATAATTATTCTCGTATTAAATATCGTATATCAATTTGTGTAATTATTAAGATATAATAGCCAATGGTATCTTGTTGGATAATAAAAAATAAAATTGTTGTATTTAAATCAAATACAATAATTGTATGATATTAAATTATGTCGTAATTAAATTATTGTTTTGCACAAATAAAATTATTGTATTTAATTTTTTTATTTAACGACGAAACTATCCAGCTGTAGTTTTTGCATAAACCAGTCAATAATGTATTGATATTGTTCAACAGAATATATTTTAATCTCTGGCGAATTTTTTAATTAATTCGTTAATTTGGGAATCACTAAAAATTAATTATTGAACTGAAATTTTCACTGATATACAACACTCAATATAAATAATAATTTTTTACAATTTATATAAATAAATTTTTCCATCGGACGGTTATTGCTGAAAAATTTATTTGTCTATTGACTTGAAGGAATAAATTATTTGTTTGTTTGCAGATAGCCGGAGGAGCTGCGTTGGCGGTTGGAGTTTGGCTCTTCGCCGATAGCAGTTCTTTTGCTGATCTCATCGGCAAACTCGATCAAACAGACATTTTGGTAAATGTTCAAAACACTTTCCTCAAAAGAGGAATTTCTTTTTAAAAAAGAAAAAAAAAAAATGACGAAAGGTAACATTTTTAGATTGTGGTAATTTTTATAAACAAAAGTTTTTCGCTGTCATTCGCGATTACAACAGCCCTTCATTCGTTAATATAAATTATTTCGTCGAACAGTTAGAAAAGGAGATAATCAGCAATTGTTTGCAGTAAAAAATTTTTCTAACCGATTCATGCTCTGTTGATTGACACGAAAGCGTTGCCAATTAGTTAACTACTACTAAAAAAAAAGTATGTCCGACACTTTCTACTCGTAAGCTCTTATCGGATCTTCATTTTCGTTTCTATGACTATATTTACTATGAAATAGTATGAAAAATTGTTCTAAATGAATAGTAACAGAATCTTAAATTCTAACATGTTATTGATAAAAGGAATAATTTTTCGAAATTATATTTTATGCAAATTATCGTTCAGAGATTATGTTTCAAATATGCAACAACTATAGTTCTAATTGTTAAGTGTATACGTTTTTCGTGTAAAACATTATTGTAAATTTCAAGCAAAACTCTAATTGAAATTCAGGACAGGTCATATTGTGTCTATGAAGTTTTAATGATCAGTATTATATAAATATAACTATTATATTATATACCTAGAGTCATGTATTAATATTTAGACAATGTGTCAGAGAAATTATTGTTCTGTATATTTGTTTATAGTAACGTTATTGATTATTATCAATCGCTGCTCTATTATGCGAAAAATTATGTGCGTGACACAAATTCATATTTCTAGTTATGAAAATTATTTTAATTATTGGAAAAAATAAATTAAATAACAATATGTACAAAGCAATAATCTTTCAAATACTTTGATTTCCAAATATTAATAGGCATCATTGTATATAAATAATTTTTAAAATGTAAAGAAAAAATTAAATAAACATTTGTATTGTACAAAATAAAAGTATAATTTTGAATATAACTTGATGCATTGAAAATACAAGTGCAATATAAAGTACTGTAAAATTGTTACTAATTACTTACTAAATATTCTTTTAGTGAAAAAAGTAAAGTTACATTAAGTATATCAGAATTTACAAGCATGTTGTTTATGTATATTTCTGACTTTTTTGTTTCAAATTAAACTAAATTTTATATATACATATATAAACTGTTATATATATACATTGAATTTATAATGTATTATGAAAAAAAAACATTAACTTAAAATTTATTTATATTTTTATGTATAAAATAATTCATGTATTAATTTGTATATTAAAATATATTTTTTTTCCACTATAATGGAATATCTTTCATGTTTGATATTTGATTTTGAAATAAATTTAAACACACTAAAAATCGTGCCCAAACCAATTGTAATAAAGAATTAATTTGGATAGTATATTAATTATAAAGTTAAATTAAATTATTTTGTTGTAGAATAAAACGGATGCCGATGTCATCAGGATAATATCATATATCTTGATTTTGGCAGGAGCATTGACCTTTTTGATTAGTTTTTTGGGATACTGTGGAGCAATGTTTGAGTCTCGGTGTCTTCTTTGTGTTGTAAGTATCAATTCATAGTCAAACAAATCAAATCTTAATATCATATAATGTAATCAAGTTTTTAATTATAGTATGGTGTTCTTATTCTGCTGGTTTTGATCCTGGAATGTGTTGTAGTAGGTTTAGCATTCGGGCTTAAAGGAAATGTAAGTTTATTTTCCTTCATTTCAACATAAAATAATACATATTTGATCCTAAATAGAAATTGATATTATTTTATTTGTCGTAACCCTCTTAGGCAGAACAAGGTACACGAAATTTCCTCAAATCTACCATCAAATATTATGCCAGTAATATTGACAAAACAGAGACAATTACAGTGGCGTGGGATGGCATAATGACACAGGTTATTAAGAATTTACAATTAACCGATTAAGAAAAGTTAAAGACAAATGAATGCTTATGAATCTTTGAACAAATTTTCATGATGAAAATTAATATTCAATTTTAATCAATTAACATTCAAAGAGATACATGTTACTTGTTTTAGCTCCATTGTTGTGGAGTAGACGATTATTTGGATTTCCGAGAAAGCATGAATTGGACATCTACGGAAAAAATTGTGCCTGAAGCATGTTGTATGAAAGAAAACAATGTTTTGAAGGATCCATCTTGTCCTATTAGCCCTACTTCCAGCAATTCTTATTATAAACAGGTTAGAAAATGCTTTATTTGGATTAATTAAGTTTATAATTAATTCATAATAAAGACTATTTGAAATATATAGAAGTACAAATATTGTACTGCCATTACAGGGTTGTTATGAAGCAATAATAAGGACAATCGAAGAAAATGCAGCTATAGTAATCGGCGTTGCGGCTGGATTAGCATTTATCGAAATCCTGGTTGTTATTTTGGCTCTACATTTGGCATGCTGTTACTGGCGACCACAACACGGTAGGCTTGCACTTCTCATTGATGCCTCTTAATTCACAAAAAGAATATTTCATTGGAATGTTTGATCAAAAATCAATTGCTATGATAATTAAAGGAAAAATGCTTTCCTATAACATTAAAAAAGATTTAAATCAGAACAGTTTTTTTCTTTTTTCAAAAGATTAAAATAAATGCATTCTTTTAGCTTGCATTGACGTATCGTCGAAACATGCTTGGTGAATTAACAACAATGAAAATATTGTATTTATATTACCTCGAAAGTTAAGTGTTTCACTTTGAATTTGTCTTCAAATTACAATAAGTTTAGCATAATTATTTTGTTTCAACCATATGTTTACAGCATCGATATTTATTCATAATAAAAAGAGGATATAGGATAATTTCTTAATAATCAGTATTATTATAGATATTGAACAAATTGGGAACATTTAATGTTGCAATATTTCTATTATTAAAATCTGTAATTAATCAGTTATTTTTAATAATTATATTATATCGTCATATATATTTTTATTATTTGTAAGTTCGTATATGTATAAATAAAATTATAAATTGACTAAAAGTAAATATATCTGCAAAATAAATTTTATACGCTTATATAAGAGCACTATATATATATATATATATAGTTTACTAAAACTTTTATAACTTTTGTATTGTAATGATATTTGTGGATGATATAATGATAACGAACTGGAGCAGTTCACGCAATCATTTGTTAGTTCATATCGCGCACAAAACATTTTCGTTTGCAGTTTTAACTTGTTGGTGTTGCTGTTGACCACATAGACTAACAGTGAGTGCTCCGTATCTTCTTGGCTCCTTCCTTCACAGAAGTGAAAATTGGCTTAAGCTTACTTGAAACTCGGCCAGGATATATTCGTCTACTTAATCATTACTCTTTTAAAAATATTCATAAAAATAGAAACGTTTGTTAAATAATATTTTTTACAAACACTTTAAATGTGAATAAATTTGAATTCGACTAATAATTAAAACCCTATAAGTACAAAATTTTCAAATGCAATTTGATTTAGTTACTAATTTAATTAGGATTAATTGGAAAATTAATTTTATTAATAAAAAAATATTGTTCAGTTTTGGAAGTAAATCAGTACAAAATTAAATGAAGAGAATAAAATTATAGAAAAATTACATATGCTTGCGTTGAACTACTTTCTGTATATACATATAGTATACAGAATAAAATTATATTTATATATAAAAATAATTAACATGGAATATTATATTGCATTATTTTATTAAGTTATATTTACTATATTACATTAATATGTAAACGACGCATATTATAATCTCTCTGTTTATAAGACAAATTAAAATGTATAATAAAAATTTGTAATATTTTATAATGTATATTTGACATTGTTTAATAATGTAGAAGACTCATGATAAAGATTTTGTATTCTTTGTAAACTCGAAATTTTTTTCTTATCTCCTATTAACTATATAAAAAAATATATGACTTTTGTACAAATTATTAGCCCAAAAGAATTTCATTGATTATACGCATTGCATTATGTTAAACAAATAATAGAATGATTAGAGAAAAAAATTATTTTACAATTATTATTACAAAATCCGCAGATGTTTCCAAAATTATAAATTACAAAAAAACAAATCCAATCTCGTTATAATTCTATTTTTAGTTTTTAAATATAATTATACATTATTTCATGAAAATATTTTAAAAATTTGTTTATAAAATAAAACTGACAATTTTAAAAGTAGCGTTTTATGTGTTATTGCAAAAATGATAATAAAATACAATATTATTATAAATTATTGTATTTCTGTTACTCATAACTGATTATAAATAAATATCTTTATTTAACCAATAAATCTTAAAAATTTTGACATCTCTGGAACTAAACAAGCCTAAAAACATTGTTATATTTAAAAATGTTTAATTTACAATTACGATATTATAAAACTTTTTACACTTTTAACAGCACCAGAGATAATTTTATAGTAATATTATCATTAATTATATAATAAATATAATATTTAACTATAAAGATAATTTCAACTGAAAGTTGAAAATACAAGACTTATATTTATTACATATGTGATTTTAAATTATCATTCTATAATTTAATTGTAAAATTCGTATTATTCTATATTTGAACTAGTATCACAGTCACTATTTTATAATAAAAGAACAAATTGTTTTAGTTTCCATAATTAACTCTTTCTACAATTTACCAAATTGAAAAATTCAGAAAATTTGATCTTTTTCATAAAGAATTTGAAATATTATGAATGATTTTCATTTTTTAACATAATTTTAACTAAAAAAAAGATTACAATATAATGTTTTTTTGCAACTGATATCCACAGCATAACAATGCACAATTATGTAAAAGTACAAGATTATTAAAAGAGAGATAAAATTTATTGAAAGTAAATTTTGATTAATTGATAAATCATTTGCAAATAAACTTGGTCCGTCTATCCTTAAATTTAATGCTAATACTATTTGTTTGCAATATGTGTAAAGTCATATGAATAATATTTTGACTACTATTTTCATTTTTACAAGTACGATTAATAATATGAGATTTTACGAAACCAACTTCCTTCTTGATGAAACAACTCTCCTACAAGTCCCCACTATGGTCCGTTGTATTAAAAAAATAGGAAAGAATTATGTATATTTTTAAAACGGACTTTACAATACGATTCAGTTGATCCATGTTGACTGATTCGGTAAACTTAGGGGGTTAGGAGAGTAAAGCATGTCCTATTGAGGTGGTCCACCCATTATGCCCATTGGAGGCATTCCTTGAATTCCATATGCTTGGGGAGGACCCTGACTTCCAGCCATAGGTGAATGCAATTGCATCGCAGGACTTTGAATCTGTTGTGTTGGTGTTACTTGGCCACCAGCTGGCGATGGAACTACCTAAAAGCAATAATTTTTGTAATAAATAACTCATTGTGAAAATTATAAAATATATTTAAATTACCGTCAAAATAGTTTTAGCAGTAATTCAATTTTTATTATAAATTTCAAATAAAATTTTAATTTTAATTTTCTAATTCATTACAATTTTACTCTAACTGATATTTTTTATTTATTTTGTCAAATAAAATAAGTTTTCTGAAAAGTCTAAATACATTTGCAAGCAAGTTTAATAAACTAATTTTTATATTAAAATGTAATTAAAAATATTATACTATCGTTATTATTTATTTATTTATTTTTATAAACGATTTTTTATAAAACGATAGTTTTATAAGTAAACACAAGCTGTATAATTCTATGATAAACATTAATATCAAAAATTAATCTTTTAAAATCACATCATTTAAAATATATAATATAATACATAGTGTAAAGTTAGCTTTAAAAATCTTATTTAATATAAAAATTTTATTGAATAAGTTATGCAATATATTTACAAAATATGATAGAACAAAATTAAGTAAAAGTACGAACATAATGCACTTTTAAAAAAGGCAAGAATTTATTGTGTGTATGTACCTCTACAAAAGTAAAATATAAACAATAGTAAAATATGTACCTCTACAAAAGTAAAATATAAACAATATTTCTCGTTTCCGCTAATAAATTTCACTCAAAATAGTAACTTTGTTCTAGCTTAGTATTTAAAAAATTTAAAAATATGTTATCTGTTTACCTGAGACATAACTGGAGGTTCTGAGGGAAGAGTCAAATTGGCTAATAAATCTCTAACTGCAGGAAACAGAGAACATTCGGATTGATTCGCACCATATTCGGCAAATCTCTTTAATTGCAAAGACGCTGCTGCCATTGCTGAAGCAGGACTTGGATCTCTTTTCTCTGCTAATTGCGTCAAATTTGTACTAACATCATAAACCAGTGGTAAAACCAACGACGGTGTTTCTCCTTGATATGGTAATCCAATTCTTGTTATTTGTAACTGTAATATGCAATAGATAATGAATTAATCCGTTAGTACTGTTTCAATAAAATTCAATAATAATAATTATATGTACATACAAAGAAAAGAATTTTATTTCTACAAACTAATACTGCAGCCATGCCAGTGGGTACAATTGGAGTTGCAGAAGGAGGAATTCGTAAGCACCACTGCACGTTCCATTTAAGTTGCTGTTGTTGCGCTAAGCCAGGTACCAATTCCAATTTCATAATTTGTATAAAATCTTTCAAAACGTTGAATGGAACGTTTAACATTCTACCAAAACCGGAAAGCGTATTCGGTTTATATGGCGGGGCTGCTGCTCTTGTATCAAAGAACTTTTCTATAATCTGAGAAAGAAAAAAAGAATGCATAAAAATAAAATATTAAGAGAAAAAGAATAACATTAGGAAAACTTCAATTATGAAAAGAATATTACTTGTAATTCCTCGAGTGTCCATTGATCTTTATGTTCTGGAAGAGGTTGTACCTTTATGTGAAGAGATTGTAAATGTTGTGGATTTAAGCCAACCCGACATTGTAAACTTTCTACTTTAAAGTGTACAACTCCTGGTTCTGTACTATTTATCGCTGTTAACTATAAACAATTTAATAGAATATATAAATTTTATTGTATTTCTAAAGTACAAAATACATAACTAGTAGATAAAAAATACTTATTAAAAAATATCCTTACACAATCATCAGTTTGTATGAACCGTTGAAATTGTCTGCGCATATAAATGCATCCCAAAAATCTTTCAAGTGGCGAAAGATCAGGACCAGGAAATCCAGAAGGATGTGGAGAAGGACAACAAAGTAATTCTAGAGCTTCATGAGTTAGAAGCGTAGGTACAGCTCCTGCCCATGAACGTTGAGGAAGTACTCTTGAGATATGAGTGCCAGCTTTATGATCAGAAGCTTGTGGACTATGTAATGCATGCCCTGGACTCTGTGCAGGACGTGCCGGAGACGGTCTAGGTACACTAGGTGATCCTGGCCAATTAGAGGCTGCTGGAGAAGCCATGCTCTGTGAAGATGGAAATGGGCTTCCATCTATATGTCCTAAATAAATAGTTATTACAAAATATATTATAATTTAATAGTTATCAATCGGACTTATTAAAAAATATTATATACATTTTATAATCTCAATATAATTTAATTAAAATTTGTGATATTTTTAGTACGCTTAATAATATAAAAAAAATATCTATTTTTTAAATTCAAATAAAAGATTATGAAGTTTTATATTTAGATGATTCTATTAAGAAATTTAAATATATGATAAACGTTTGTACGACTCGTAAATTAAAACTATTTGTCGGAAAGATGGAAGAAAGATAATCTGTACTACAATTATTTTTTTTTTTAACAAATATAACTTGTTAACAAAATTAGAAAAAGATTGTTTATAACATTACTTTGAAACCTAAAAATTTTTTATAATGAAAGATATTAAAGTTAAATTAAGAATATAAGTTAATAAAAATAAATTGAAAGAAAAGAAAATAAAACTAATAAAATAACAACTTGAAAAAATGATATAAAAATATGTTTAATTTATTCACCCCTCATTTTTTCAACTTAATTTAGCTCCAAAAACTAAATTGACAGTGGCACAAAATTGTTTTATTAACAATAAATAGGCTAAATTTCTATTTAATTGCACATAATCTATTCTCAGGTATAGATGTTTAATTTTATATTGTAACTTTACATTTTACAAATTTTTTATAAGAAAAATGGATAAGGGATAATGGATATATAAACACAAATATGCCTTTACATTCATGCTGAATTGAATTCAAAAATATTAATCAATTATATCTCGATAATATAAAAAAAAGTACCATGATTTTAAAATAATCCATCTTGTAATAAAATTTAAATTTTTAATTAAACATTATTTCTTACCAGTTTGCATGAAGGATCCTGCAGGAGAATGTCCTACTGGAACATTACTACATGGTCCTGGTGAAGATGTTGGCATTAATCCAGCTGGACTAGGAACATGCATCGGATTTAGAGGGCTATTAGCAACTAATCCAGAACCTGGTGAAGGATGTGGTAACATGTTGGGAGTATTTGGTGGTAGTGACGGTGGTGAAGCCAAATTGAAGGAAGTGGCTGGACTACTTCCAAAACTTTGATGTTGATTTGTCTAGAGGAAATTAAAAGTAAAAAGAAAACACATGATAGCAGAATATATATAGCCTCAAAATAAAATATGAAAGCTACCTGTGATATGTTAGCAGTATGTGGACTAGCTGGAGTATGAGGATTACTACCAGAAGGTGGAGTCAAAGGTGGGTGAAATCTTAATCCATCTCTTTGTTGTGCAGGTGACTGGGGTCCGCTTCTATGATGACTTAAAAAACCTACATTTCCACTTCCACTGCCACCATCGCTGTCCATTGTTACGGGAGAAGGAGGATTATCATCTTCTGATTGAGATCTTCTACGAGAGACTGCACTTTCATCCACATATTTAGATAAAAATGCCTG